TAGTAGCATGGAGATGCTGTAAGATGGTTGGTGCTTTTCATTCTCTTTCCTCCAGCGGCCCCATCGAGGGAGGGGCAGATGTGGTGGGAGGGAGCACAGGGGTGGAGGCATATAGTGGTATGGCCTCATTTCACTTTGATTCCTGCTGTACCTGAAATGTGAAGCCAACTGCCCAGCAGCAGCAGTGGCATTTTTGTTCAGCCAGTGCTGGAGGAGTCAATTAACATCATGGGTTATTATAACCTACCTGATTTACTTCTAATTCCTCCTTACCCCACAGGTGTTAAAGATCCTCTCTCTTTTTTATGGTCTTGGTGTTCCACTAAACCAGCTATCATTTCTTCAGCAATTTTGCTGTCTGTTAGCTGTTAGATACTCCCAGTCTCTCTCCTTTTATTTCACAGCCCTGCAAAATGTTTTTAGTTCTTTTCAAAATCCTAGATCCGCCCATGGAGTTCACTCTTTAGCAACAGCTATAGTTTGAGCTTTTGGCTGAGCAGCCAAAGCTTTTGACAGTTCAGCTATGAAAGGGTTAAAAATGTAGCTTCTGCCTAAGCAGGAAAGAGACTGAGTGAATGGAAGAGTAGGTTCTGTCTCTACTGGTGACCATAACTTTGGAAACATCCTTTTTTCCCTTCCTTCTGCCTTCCCAAAAACAAGTTGCAAGTCTTAAATGGGGTTGTGTGATACGCTAGAAAATATGGTAAATCTTGACTATTGTGCCTTAATTGATATTGGCTTGTGATGTTAAAAAGGCATTAAAGTTTGACTGCCCGATGCAGGATTTTTGCAGTGGACTATACCTGTAGGCATAAGTTCTTTGTATCCCTTTCTTGTAGACTTTCATTTATAAGCGGAGTAACCCAAACCATGAAACATCAAGTGTTCTACTGACAGTTAGAATTCAGTTCATTTAAGATCTTTGAATGTGAGCAGAACAAAATTAATTTGCACCTTTGGTTTTTAGGCTCGCACTACTAAAGTATTACACAGATAGGAAAAAGTCTGTATTTCACACCCAGGCTACTGTAGAAAGGTAGGTGGTAGTGCTACCCTGAGGTATGTAGTAGATCAGTAATGTATTAAGTTATTTACCTTAGTGGTAGGTAAATACATTGGTCACAAAGAAGGGAAAGTCTTACAGAAAGATAACAAAGATGTAAGAAGGCAGCCGGGCCCCGAGGACAGCGGGCCTTAGGGGAGCAGTGGTGACTTCCAGCTGCCAGCGTGATAATGCAGTTGCAGTGGTAGCTGATACAGGCAGTCCTCAGACTTACGACACAATTGGTTCCTGAAAGCTGCATCTTGAGACAAAACATTGCAACTTGGAACCGATTTTCCCATAGGAACCAATGTTATAAATGGGGGATTGGTTCCTGAACCAAGACCCAATACCCTATTTTCACCAAAAATAACCCAGAATTTCATACTCAATCAATTATAAATGAGTAATATAGCTACAATAATGTATTTCTATTGTAAATAGCAATTATATTGATTTGGAGGAATTTCTTTGAGGTGACTCTGCTGGACTTTTTGAAGGGCTCTTGGCTGCACTTTTTGAAGGGCTCTTGGCTGGAGTCTTCTCAGGAGTCTTGGCTGCAGGTTTTTCTGGAGTCTTGTCTGCTTTCTTAAAGAAGGTGTCCGAGGAAGTTTGGACAGATGTTCTCCAGGGAGATGTGCAATGCAGCAAACTTGTTTGCTGGTGTGGCATCAGATCAGATCAAGCATTGTAAAGTCGAAACTGACATCAGAAAGTTGAAAAAGGACATCGATTTACAAATGTTGTAAGTGTGAAACGTTGTAACTCGAAACATTGTAAGTTGAGGACTGCCTGTATTTTTCTCATCTCCCCACAAATTGGCACCTGTGGTAGCTGCCTCAATCGCCCCACCCTGTTTATGCTACTGGGTTATAACATCCATGCACTTTTTTTCCATTTAAAACCTGGAATGTATTATGTAAAGCATAGCACAGCCAGTCTTATGTAAACTCTGAGAATCCTTTTACTATGTACAGTTTTATGAGGGTAAAGATAGATGTAACAGTTGTATCCATATCAAAGATTACTGATAAAAATTGTTATGATGCAGCTGTTACATTTGCATGATTCTGTAGTGATGCAAGCCCTAGTAAACTGTTCCAACTTTAATCTTGCTTCAGTCAGGGTCGAAACTAGGGCAGTTTAGCTCATATAACCACAGGCTCATACAGACAGAGCAATTCCTGGTGTAAGAGCTGATGCATACTCCTAAGCAACAGCAGCTCCTCCTCCGTTTTTAAAGTATGTATGTCCATACTCTGAGGAGTGATTTAGCTTAAACTTAAACTCTAAGGAAATACAGTTCACTTGTAAAATGAAGTACTCATTAATCGTACTGTGGATCTTCAAACATAAGAGGGAAAAAGATTGAAGTCAATATATTTATTTTTATTTTTGTCATTCTGAAAGATGATTGTCACACATGCTAATACAACTATTTGGGTTCAATGTGGTAAGCACAGATTACAGTAGTAAGAAAGATGCATCAGCCTAGGCTTTAGCACGTGTTACCACCCATAGCATGTACCAACAGTTCCTGGAGAGCTTTGTATTCTGATTGCTAGCTCATGATACAGCCTGAGTTACTGTTAGGGTGGCCATCATAGAGGACATTTTGGTTTTCTGCTACTCTGTCCTCTAGTCATATGAAATCCGATGCCTTTTATGTCCTCTATTTTTTCTTAAAGAGAAAAATAGAGGACATAAAGGTGTCCAGTTTCATATCAATAGAGGACAGCACAACTGGACTGTCCTCTATGATGGCCACCCTAGTTACTGTATTTGTTTTTTAATAGTACAGGTACTGCTAGCTGGATTAAAGTAGCCACAGGGATGCTGGCATACGCTCTGATTCCATTTTCATTTTGCTATAAAGACTACTTTTAGGCTTGAAGTAAACTAGTTCCCTAGCTAAAGAGCTAGGGGTTGTTTCCAAGACCTTTTAAAATGTTACATAAAATGTTGCAGTGCAATAGTCTTGAGGCAGGAAAAGTGACATTGCTATATGTACTATTGCATATAGCATATATGCAATTGCTATATGCATATATGACATTGCATATAATGTACTATTGAAATTTTAGGCTTAAACACACATTTTCAAAAGGGAATGGTGCTCTCCGTATTGAGTTGTAGGGTAAGCCAAGATGAATCAGCCTTTTGGAATTTGGAAACTTCCTGTCATTGTCATCAAACTAGCAGGAGGCGTTTTGGCTTACTGTAACATCTAAATCAGCAATTTAGATTCTTAGTTCCCTTGTTTTAGAATTTTTTCTGTTTTTGTTTTTTTTCCCCACTGAAAGTTAATATATGAGTGGTAACAGCTGAAATGGAATTTAAATCCGTTAATATATAAAGGGAGGCCACAAAAATTTAATAAATACGAATCTGATGTAGCATTTGAGCTGTCTTGGAGCAAGCCATATACTTCATTGTTGAAAGCAAAGGCAAGAGGTCAGGGGAAGAGGATAAGAATATAAAAATAGACTGATGGAGCGCATATGGAACATCCAAACAAAAGTCATCATCTTCAAGATTTTGGCAATCCTTTTATTAAACTATTTGCCATTATTATGTTCTGTAGGAAATGAAACAGAGTCTCAGTTTGTGTAAACCACTGTAGCTTTATTGAACCTACCTCATCTGAGGATCTGACCATAAACTAAATTTTTATGGAATTTTATCTTAAAAAAGAGTGTACCAGTAATTTTTTGGGGAAGATCATATTAACCTAGACTTTACAATGCACTTTTCAAAAAAGTTATACTTTTCTAAAAATGGGAACGGTCATATGCATTTAAGAATAAATCAATACTTGTTTTAATAGTCTCATCTCTATTCTGTGTCCATAGATTTATACAGCCAAAACTATTTTTCTCCTTAAGTTTCAGATATTAGTGCTTGATTTTGTTAGCTGCAGTAAAAAAGCTAAAAAATTTAAAAAGTACATTGGCTATATTTTTGTCAGGTATATTCATACATATGAAGAAATGAGCCTATGCAGATATCAGAGTATTTGTAAAACCAGATTTCTCATATATCCACCTGATTGTGGTAAACGTTATTACTTTTTAAATCACATTAGAAATCTTGTGTTGTTTGCTTTCCAGACAGACTTTCTTACTTTGTAACTTTCTTAGAAAGATAGCTCTTTCATGAAAGTTTACTAAGTCTAAAACAGTGGTTCTTAACCTTTTTGGCATCCAGATACCCCACCACTGCAGTTTTGAATGCGGTGGCACCCCTGGGTGAGAATCCTTGTTGGTGCTGCCTAAGCTTACCTGAGTGCTTCTCAGCCAGGTTCCAGGAGAACTGTAGGTGAGAACAGACCAGAAAGAGCTGCACAGCATGAGGCAGTTTTGCTTAAAGCCTTAATGCAGGGGCAGCATGCTGGGCACCTAGCCACTGCCACTGTGGCACCTCATTTGGGAACTACTAGTCCAGAACCTTTTTGTACAAGGTAGAATCTGAATTTAGCATTTCAGAGATGCTGTTTTTTTTTGGGGGGGGGTGTTTTTTGTGGGGGGGGGGGTTTAAGATCAGGCTCTCTAAGTATGAGAACTTTTTTGTTTCTCCAAAGGTTGGATAGCTTGCTACCCCTGTTTCTGTAAACTATAAATCATGCAAATTGGAGTCGAAATATACCAACTTCATCGTTTCTAAAGCGTTGATGACCTAAATTGTTGCATTTTGAGATCAAATCATACTAGCTAAGAAGTATTCTGTGTGTGTGTTAAACTGACTCATACATTTATTTTAATCAAAATCAAGAAGGGTGTACTGGCTATGCCTCTTGTCCAGCGATAATTATTCATTTTATATGAGAAGTTTTTGAGAATTAAAGATTTGAGCCCAGTACAACTTATTGAAGTAATGTGCCAGACAAGATTTGAGTGTTTCACTTATTTCCGTATTATATAAACCATATGGTAGACTGTTTATATTCTCTGGATTTCAGTGTACAGGAGACCTATGAAGCAAAGAGGCATGAGTTCTTTGGTGAATTACAGCGGAAGGAGGAAGAGATGAGACAGACATTTGTGCAGAGAGTCAAGGAGAAAGAAGCAATACTGAAAGAAGCTGAGCGTGATGTATGTATGCCTCTGTTTTTCTATTTAATTTGATGGTGCTTGAAATTTTTTGCAAAATTGCAACAGTGTTGATATTCTGTAATAAAATTTAATTTAACATTTAAATTGCATTTCCATTGAGGGGCCATGACTAGAATGGCTCCTTTGTACTAGATGTTGTACCAACAATGTATAACAGTTCCTGCCCCAGAGCATTTGCAGTCTGAAGGGCTGCCTGTCTGGGTGAAACAAATAAATGGGCTGGGATAAAGGGCGATGAAGTTGGGGTAATGGGTGTAATAGTCTGTGCAATTTTTAGCTCTTGTGTAACATGATCCCTGCTCACCATGCCTTACTGGATATCAAGTTGTAGTTTTCTATATGAATTGTAGTAGGGGTAATTTTTGAGCAGAGAGCAGAAAGAAAGATAAGATGGTGACTGTGGGTATTGACCCACAGAGGAAGGTTTGAAATCAGCAGTATTTTAAGATGCTACTTTAAAGATAGCTAACAGGCAGGACCACCCTATTGAACCTCAAAAAAAGTAGGTGACAAAATCATATTTTGCCAATCCCGCTTGATGGTAGCCAAAATTCAGTGACAGTGCGACTGAAGAATACTTTATTCCCCAAAGAAACCAGCTCCTTGGTATCTTTGTTCATAATGGACACATCTACATGAGATGCTTACTGCACAGTTTACTAATTAACTATGCAGTAAACATCTCTGTGTCTACATGTGCCGCACCTATTAGGGCATACAAAACTATTAAACTCCAAAGCAGAGTAGTACTTGTAAATAAAAGTACTACCCTGCTCCAGATGGTTTTTTTTTTTTGTGCACAGCAGCACATGTGTAGATGCTGAGCCAGCTGACTGGGCCACGAGGGTGCTTCTGTGACTGGGCTGTCTGCAGGCTAGTGTGCCAGAAGGCTAACGTAGGGAAAAAATGCAAAAGTACTTGTTGCAGAAGTGCGTTATTTGATGTTGGCATCACTGGCAGAGTGAAGGTAGGAGTTAAACTTGCAGTAGAATGATGAGGATACAGCAAAACTGTAGAAGACTTGGAAAGTCGAGATAAATAATTTTTATTGGTAGTCGAGGGTGATGTATAGGGGGTGCACGCAGGTGCATGTGCACCCCCTGCAAAAAGGCACTGCCGACAGTGCCGGCGCTGCCTTTTTGCATGAGTGGGCGGTCGCTGCTTGCCACCCCACTGCTGACACCGCCAGTAATATCTGCAGGCGGTTCCCCCGCTGCCAACAGTGTTGGCGGTGTCTGCAGGTGCTCCGTGCTTACCGCCACTGGGCTCCTGCTGCCACACTCCCACCACTGCCGGTGCAACTGTGCCCTGCCCAGCCACTGGGGACACATGCCATTCATGTTGGTAGTGGAAGAGGAAAGACAGTAGAAGGAAAATTAAACTGTTTTTTGCTGTATTATTTATAAAGCCCTCATTTCGGTAGGATGTAGATATGACTTAAACAATTAAAGATAATTACAACATGGTGGAAGAAATCCATAGACTGTTTGTTCTTTAGCCCAAGTTGATGCTATATACAATTATAAGGACTTGTTAGTACTTGTGACAGCCAATAAGAAATTGTACTGTTTTGGAGTGTCTAGCTCCACATTGGGTGTGTCTACACATGCTATTATGGCACATGAATAAACTGCAGAGGTTATTGCTTTGCAGGTTAATGCCCCCAGGAAGCTCCCAGGCATGCTGTTTACATATATGGCCAGACAGCAGCACATTGAGCCAGGTCCAAACAGCCCTGGTTGGCAGGGACCCCGGGTGTCAGCCTGCTAGCCCAGGGTGGCTCCAACCCAGGTCAGTGTGCTGTGGAGGGGCTGGCTGGGAAACAAGAATGCTTCAGTACAGGGCTAGCCTGCAGGCAGCCCCTGCACTGAAGCATCCTTGTGCCCCAGCTGGCCGGCTCAGCATCTACACATGTGCTGCTGTGCATAAAAAACTCCAGAGCAGAGTAGTATTTGTATTTACAACTATTTGCTTGTGTTTACAAGTACTACCCTGCTCCAGAGTTTAATCATTTTGTGTACCCTAATAGCTTATAGGGGCACACATGGAGACAGAGATGCTTACTGCACAGTTAATTAGTCAACTGTGCAGTAAACATCTCCATGTAGACGTGCCCATTATAAATGAAGATACCAAGGAGCTGGTTTCTTTGGGGAATAGAGTATTCTTTAATCTCATTGTTACTGAGTTTTGTCTGCCATCAATCAGGATTGGCAAAATATGATTTTGTCATCTACTTTTTTGAGGTTCGCTATAGTGGTCCTGCCTGTTAACTGTCTTTAAAGTACTGTCTTAAAATTGCTTGTCATTTCAAACTCGGTTAATGCTGTTAACCTTCTACTATTTTTTTTCCATGTGCCTCAGTCATATTTGGGAGGGGATGCATGCGTTTGTTTGTTAGAGTTTTATAGTTTCAATATCAAGAGGATGTTTAACTAGGGTCAGAATTTCTAAACAGGATAGAAGCTTCAATTTTTATAGCTATAAAGATAACATGTATAGTTAGTTCATTAGGAATAAACTATGCCAATATGAACATTCTCATATTGAAGAAACAGTTTTGTGTCCAAAGGCAGCACTCGCAGATTGTATCCAGTGTTGAATATAGTTGTCTGTGTTTACTTTTTGGAAAAGATGGCTACCTAGTCAGAGGAAATGCTCAACCTTCTTTAAGGGTTGCCTTCTAATTGTAGAGGAGCAGCTGGTTGGTTTGGCCTGGATTGCTAAAGGATTTTGGCTTTTATGCAGTTGTCAGTGAGACCATGCATTTCATACTCTTCACAGAAGCGATCAAGTGTGCCCTGGAGCTCTGTAGTTGAGTGGGCACACATGACAGTCATCAGCATATTGAAGATCAGAAATGGAGGTGTTGGTTATCTTGGACCACAGTACAGATGGCAAAGAGTTGGTGCATCTTTGCCTGACTAGTGCTAATATTGAAGGGGTTCTTTTCCCAGCTGTTGTTTAGGATGATTGCTGCCATGCCAACATGAAGAATTCCAATAATGGTAACAAATTTTGGCATGCATCCAAGTCCTATCAGGCCGTTCCATAAGGCCTCAGTAGATTGAATCAAAGGCCTTAGTCAGGACAGCAAAGGCCAAATAAAGATCTTGGTGTTGCTTGTGGCACTTTTCTCCTGCAGCTGTCTGGCAACAAAGATCATGTCTATTGTAAATTTGAGTGGTCTTAAACCCCATTAGGCACAATCTCTTCAGTGAGGAAAATGAGTCTATCAGGGAGAATGTGGGAGAGGATCTTCCTAGCTGTGGGCAGGAGTGCAATACCATGGTATCTGCTGCAATCAATCTCCTTTTTTGAATATGGTATTCATTCTGGCATCTCTTGAATGATTGGGAATTTGTTCGTGTTCTCAGATATTCATAGTAATGACATGCAAGACATGTAAGAGAGTTTTTTTCCACCTTGCTTATTAATTTTAGCTGGTGTTCCATCAGAACCACATGCTTTATTGTTTTTTATATGCTTAATGGCTTTCAGGACCTCTTGGTAAGTTGGTGGATCTTCAAGGTAGTCCTTATAGGGTATTGTGGAATAGCATTGATGGTATTGTCTTCAACATTCAGATCTTGATTCAGGAGCTCTTGAAAGTGTTCTTTCTACTGGGTGTTTATGGTGAAACTGTCTCTGAAGAGTGTTGTTCCATTGTTGGAGCTCAGAAGGATGGCTGTAGAGATCCAGGATTTCCTAGAGGGAGGTGCAGGAGCTGCATCCTGCATTTCAAGGATGACTAGTGCCCCTGCTCCCAGGCTCCTCCACCTGCACTGGTGAGGTCAGACTACACTGTGGAACTTTGGGAGACTTTAAGTCTCTAAAGCAGCTGGAAATCCTTCCTCCCTTTTTTTTGTGCTCAGAGGCATGCCTTCTCCCCACCTCACCCCCTTTCCCTGCCTGCTGCAGTGGCAGGTTGAGAGAGGGGGAAGGGCAAGGGGAGTGTGGGGGACATACCTCTGAGCACGGAAGGGAAGGGAGTGGGATTTTCACCTGCTTCAGAAACTTAAAGTCCTTAGAAGCTCC